TTTCTCTTTTCTTTTCACATATCTTAAATGAAGAAGGGTTTGTACCTCAAAAACAGATTTGCTTCAGTTATGAGCTATGATGAATCACAAATTGGAGTTAGAAAGTAACTGAGCAAGCATTAACTTGGCTATTATAGTCTAGATTTTGTTGAAGTTTTTGTGAGCAGGGTGCAGTAGCATATAATCTGTTTGTCAAATATAATTTCACAGCATTGTATCAAAGTTTCCACCCACCACTTCAAAAAGCATTATGTTTCTCAAGAAACTACTTTATTGTTTGGATCATATATTGGGACATTTTATTAGGGTTTTGCTTCCCCCCTGGTGTGTTTCCTGCTGACCTAATCTTGCCTTCTAATAGACACTTAGAACTATTTTTGCTGGTGAATTTTAACTTTAAATGCTCTAAAAGTTTGGAAAGTAACTTCTGCTGGTCAGGCTTGCCTTTTATATCCTATGTTTTATTTTATACTGTAATGCTATTAACTTTAACATCGATCTTTTACTTTTCTTGAGCAGCTTAGAAAAGAGGGTAGGAGGAATGAGTATGAAAGGCATAAACTTGAAGCCCTGAATCAACGCCAAAAAATGGTACAGGATCATGAGAGGCACTAGTCTTTGATGTTTTATGATTTCATCTATGTTTAAAGTGTTGGAATATGGGCCTACCTTTTGTACCTATTTTAGAGTGCTAAGTTGGTTCATTGCATATATTATTGATTTGTTCCTTGCCTGACTTGAATGGGGCATGACAGCATTGTTTATATTCTTGGTAGGCCTCTAGACATTTTCCTGATTCAGTAACCCATTTTATTTTGAAGGATTAATGTAAGTGTAAATTTGTTAATTATAGAACACGCAGTGTGATTGACCTGATCTGGTTATGTAAGCAGTCCTTGAAAGGAACACTGAATTTGGAAGAATGAGGATTGATGCAGTCAAGTTTTTAAGGGATTTTCCCTGTACATGAATCTTTAGGACATGCCTTCTGGCATGCTTTTTTTTATACTACATATCATATAGTTGTCAAGGTTTTATCAGTGCTGTAACCAACAATCAATATTTTTCTTGCAGGTTCTTCAAAGGAAAACAGAAGAAGCAGCAATGGCTACCAAAAGGCTGAAAGAGTTGTTAGAAGCACGCAAGTCTTCTGTACGTGACAACTCAGGTAAAATTTTCTTTGTGAAATTAATCTGTTATTGATTCTTTCTGTGACATACTAATTGTTTGTTTACCTTTTCAGTTAATCACAATGGACATACACCAAATGGACAGGTAAATGATTTGTAATTAAGCATTCACTCCTAGGCAAATTTGTTACTCTGGGTCAGCAATGTCTGATGAAATCTACCAGTATGTCTATATATTGGTGCAACTCAGGCTAGGCTTTGAATCATGATCAAAGTGACAGGAGTGCAAACTATGGTCTGAAGAAAATATTTTGGTTGCGAACCATATATTTAATATACTCGGATGGAAAATACAGAGTAAATTAACTGTAATGATTGGTTGAGTTTGCAATTTCTTTTTCACCTGATCACAAAAGGAATGGGCAGCTCTAAGTCCAACCTTAAACTAGTTGTCAATTTTGTGTTACTTAAGTTTCATAGCTAATGTTGGCCATCTTTCATTTTGGTTTTTGCATCTTTAGAGCAACGAAAAATCTGTGCAAAAGTGGCTTGATCATGAGATAGAAGTAATGGTGAATGTCCGCGAAGTTCGTTTTGTATATGAGAAACAGATCCAAGTGTAAGTATCCATCAATTTGTTTCTCTTACACTCACTATCTGTTTTAAGCCTTTATGAAAGTCTGATATTAAATGATTGTGTAGGCTTACTGCTCTGACAGAGGAGTTAACCTTATTGAAACAAGTAGATCAGTTGTCTTCAAATGGTGACATTCCTCACAAAGTAAACAATGGACATTCTAGGTACATATGATAGTGATATGATTATGTTTCTACTTATTCTATATATTCTCTTCAAATATTATCTGCACAAATGGAACTGGCGGGATCTTATCTTAATTTGTACATCTTATAAAAACAATAGAAGTGCTTGAGGTAACTATGATGAATTAAATATGTTTTCCTTTTCACTTTGTTATTTCCAACCAATTAGATTGTTATCTATGTCACCAAATGCGAGAATGGAAAGAATAGCTTCCCTTGAGAACATGCTTAGCATGTCTTCAAATGCCCTCACGGCAATGGCTTCACAACTCTTGGAGGCAGAAGAAAGGGAGCGTGGTTTGGTTGGTCGTGGGCGGTGGAATCAAGTACGCTCAATAAATGAGGCAAAGAACGTGCTTCAATACTTGTTTAATGCTACTGCAGAATCAAGGTGCTTATACAAACTAGAATATGACAAATTTCATTTCAACTTTCTCTTTCTTCTGCTGAATCTGGTTATCTGACACTTGAAGTGACATGGCCATCCTTAAAATTTATTGAGATTAGTTAAATGTAGATGGTTAAATGCAACTGAAGATGTGTACCTAGCTAAGATATTGGAAATACCTAGGCTCCCATTGTCATGCACACTTATGAGAAGCTAGTATATTTGTACACTATCTTATGCAAACTCAAACACATACAAGCAGAATATGGATGTCTGGGGTAAATGACTTGTTTTGCACATTCGAGCTATACAATGATTGCACGTGCATCTCTTTACCTATTTACCCCAATGACCTTACTACCTGATAATGCTTACTATTTTGGGTTTTCTGGTTGAGGTCACTGTGAGAACATAAAATTGAGGGTGTTTGTCAAGAAGATTTATTATGTAATGCTTGAATGTTGATTTCCATGGTACTTCTATGAGCAGGTGCGAGTTGCGGGAGAAAGATTTGGAGATTAAGGACCTCAAACAGCAATTGAAGGATCTCACTGCTCTATTATGGCAAAGTGAGGCACAGAAAAAGGAGCTTGTGAAGGAGCAAAAGATGAGGGAGCAAGCTGTTGCTATTGCCTTGGCTACATCAGCTTCGGTGAGATTGTCATCTATGCGTCACTTTTTTCTTTTTTTTTTTTTAATGTTTAATGTTTAATGCACTAATACATTCTCATTCAAACTTAGCCCAAATCACACTATGTCCGTATTAGCTGATGTTTTGGACTGAAATTATTTAATTTTGACTTTAAGGTGGAAGATTCAAGTAATTCATCAAGATTTCCGTAGGTGATGATGATTACTAAATAACCTTCTACATTTCTTTGTCCTTTAGTAATGACTAAGGTCTTAATTATGAGCCTTGGGTTATCTTATGAAACTTGAGGAAGGAAAAAAATAATCTCCTGACCAACTGAAAGTACTCATTAATAGCACTAGAAATAAATCAAATGTTAGGGATCCAACAACATTTAACTTTACAATGTACCCCTAATTTTGTATTCTCATATTTAATAAATGGAATTCCACAGGGGAACTCTCGCAGTTCATCAAAACACTTTTCGGATGATTTGAGTGGTCCCCTCTCATTGATGTCACTCCCAGCCCCCAAGCAACTGAAATTTACACCTGGGATTGTTAATTTGTCTGTTAGAGACTCAGTAGCTTTTCTAGATCAGACAAGAAAGGTAAATTATCTGCTCCATGTGGTTGTTTAGATTATTGTCTTTCTGCTTGATCTAGAAGTAGAGATATCATGTGTGCAGATGGTACCAGTTGGACATTTGTCAATGAAGAGGTTGACAACCATGGGACAGACTGGAAAACTCTGGAGGTGGAAGAGAAGTCATCACCAGTGGTTGCTTCAATTCAGATGGAAATGGCAGAAGCCATGGAAACTCTCAGAATTAATCAAACACAGTGATGAAACAATCATGAGATCAAGGCCTCGTTCACAGGCTCTAACTGAACTGATATGATAAGCTTATATCATCAGCTTTCTTTATCCTGTGTATAAATCTTGACGGGCATAATGGCATGGCTTACTGAGAAAATAAATGCAGGTAATTCCCATTTTTTTATTAGTTGCCTGTTGACACAATAAGAAACATTGAAGTTTACTATGACTGGTACGGTTGATACACTTATCATGCTTTTGTGACCTTGAACCTTGTGCCCTGATATGCAGTTCATTCGTTTTCGTTGCTTTCTGACCATGAAGTGTAGACAGCCAAGCCATGTCTGATAGACTATAAAGACAGCCCATTCTCCTGGATGATTACATGTTTTACTGCCTGAAATGATTGCACATAATTAATTCATTTTTGTGGTTCTTGATCTAAACTTTTGACATTAAGACAATACTTGATGAAACTTTGCCGTCTTGACTCTTAGGTTCGGTTTTCATTGTTGCCCTTTAGTTGTTTCCTAATCAGCCAATCTGATTTAGTGACAAGAACAAGTCCATGCTCAATTGAAAATTCACGTCTTGTATAATTCTTTTTCTTCCATTATTGCAGGCATGTTGTAAATAGGGAAGAGGAGATCGGTGCTTGCCATAGTTGTACCCGAGATGTCTAAACACAAAGTTTGCGTGATCTTAGCTAATGTTTGGATTTCAAATTTTTGCTGGTGTAAATAATCACATTGAAGCATGTTGGCAGAGTGGTAGGCCTCCAATGTGCTGGAAAGTGGCTGATAACTGACTAAGCATGGTTATATATGAGGTTGTTGCGGTTCATAAAGATGTTTCAGTATTTGTAGTGTGCTGTATTATTTTTCATTCTTTATCATGAAAATAAAATATCTTCTGCCAAAGTTGTGCATGATTGACCTTTCAAATTGCCATTTTTTGTGTATATGTTACGTTCATCAAGATTATTGTTGTTAAGTACCATATAGATTTAAGTGATTAATTTCTGGCTTTAATGGCCTAATAGTGTGACTTGTGAGACTTAACACTCAGTTCAAAGAAAGGCTGATATAAATCCCAAACTTAGATCCGTTGGTTTAGAGAAAGATGGCATTAGGTAAGTTTATGATTTAAATTCAAGTACTTGTAATTCTTTCATATGTTTGAATGTTGCTTCAAAGTCTAATTACTCTTAATCTCTTTTTTTTTTAATCTTTATACTGCGACGCTGATATGAAAAATAGCTAATAAAGCCTTTGGTAACATCATATGATCTATCTCACGTGTAATAAATGAAATCAGATTGTCATATACAGGAGCTTGAATAAATTTCTCGGCTAAGCCTGAACACCACACAGCAAATTCCAATTTGCTTCATTCTTAGCATCAACAAATATTTGATTCATTCTATATTGTTATGAATACCCAAAAGATGCACTATCCTCTATCATTGCACTCTTCTTGATCTCCTGTATCATCTTTAACACTTGCCACATCGGCGGCCTCTGCTCCGGTGATTTCAAGCTACAAACGCTAGCAACTTCAGTTAGCATTCCAAGCCGGTGATATTCCCCACCATCATCTTCTCGCATTGTTCTAACCCATTCCATTACGTCATGGGGCACAAGCACAGGATGTTGTGATGGATGTTTACCCGTCAAAAGCTCCAGCAGGAAGACACCAAATGCATAAACATCAGACTTGGGAGTGAGTCTGCCGTTTGATTTTCGAATCTCAGGAGCTTTATAGGCAGCAGAATCAGGATCTTCAGTAGAAGAAGAGTCTGCAAGGACAGCAAGGCAGTAGTCGGTGAGACAGGCTTCGAAATCAGTCCCAAGGAGCACGTTGGAGGATTTCAAGTTGCCATGGACAAGCCTTGATGCTTGGTGGATGTAAGCAAGGCCCTGGGCAACATCTTCTGCTATCTTTAAACATGACGTCCAATGAAGAGGCTTTGCCCTTGTTGATCTTGAACCTGTTCATAATCTTGCATCAGTTGTAAGCAATGAATTTGATCTAAACTACAATGAAATTGTTCATAATATCCAAGAATTCCTTTGTATACATAACCTTATTCCTAAGCATTAAAATATGGACAAATTCGTGAGTTTTAAGTAAAATGACATCACCGTAATTGTCGGTTTCAGGACACTAATGTTCTAAAAGCTGCACCAGTTTTTCTTAGTACTTTTCACTACTTATTCGCCATGACTTTAGCTTAAATCATGCAGAATCCAATGGTTGATTGGTCCAGAATATTACCCTCACCAATAATCAAACATCAATTTAGAAGCAAAGGCCCCACTTTGGTTCTCTTTTACCCATTTTAAACACTACAGTCTACAAGCCGTAACTGTAACTAAATACCGTAAACTCGGCCATAACTCACTGAGTAAACCCAGTCCCAAAACTCAAAAAAAAAAAAAAAACCAAAACAAAACAAAAATCATACCATGAACGAGGTTGTAAACGCTTCCATTGGGTTGATAATCATAGATCACGAGCCTTTCTCCTTTAGCTTGAAAATAAGCTCTAATTGGCACCAAATTGGGGTGTCTCAGCCCTCCAACGGCATCCATTTGTTGCTCAAAAACTTCACCGCTGGTCACCCCCGTTTTCCCAGCATCCAATCTCTTCACCGTCAAAATCAACTGCCCATCAACCACTGCCTTATACGTGGTCCCCATCGTACCCCTCCCTAATAACTCAGCTGAAGCTCTCATTAGCTGTTCTAAACTGTAACCTTCAACTTCACCAGCAACAAACACTAAATTCCCACTCTTTTTCGGCTTTTGAACTTCGGATATTACTAATTTTCTCTCCGAAACTTCTTCAACTTGGGTTTTTGGGTTTCCTAGGTTTGAGTTCGTTGCTTCTGATGAAACTATTGTTGTTGGCTTTGTTTCTTTTGAGTCCAGTCTCTTTTTACCGCTTTGTTTTCTAACCAAAGCTAAAGCTAACAAAACTGAAAATATTATCAAAGCAATTCCGAAGGTAAACCCCAAGACCGCCGTAGTTTTCTGGTGCTTCTTCTTCGGTGAGGATGGCGGTGTAAGAACTAAAATCCCTCCACTGTTGGCGCCGCTGCCTTGAACCTCCGCGCTTTGCCCTAGCGGACCTGACGCTGAAGGAGAACCGAAAAATGGAGCACGTGAAGTGCAGGCTTTGTTGATAATCTCTCCACATAAATTAGGGTTCAATGAGAACGCCGTCGTATTGAACTTCGATAAAGTCCGGGTGACCGGTATTTTTCCAGTAAGATTGTTTCCTGAAACATTGAAAATGAGTAGAAATGATTGGTTTAAAGGCGGGACCGTTCCGTTAAACCGGTTCCACTCGAGCCGGAGGATTTTTAACCGGTCCAAAACGGTTAAGTTAGCCGGCATCGGACCGGTTAAACCATTGTAAGAAAGATCGAGAGAAGTTATTCTATGAAGAAGTAAGACAGAAGGAGGGAAAGTGCCAGAAAAATTGTTACGGTCCAAAAACAGGGATTTAAGGTTGTAAAGAGAGGACAAGTCGGGGATCGGACCCGACAACGAGTTGTTATGGAGACTGAGGACACGGAGCTGGTCGAGGCGAGTGAGAGAATCGGCGGGGAAAATGCCACGTAAGTCTGAATTCTGGAGGATATAGCGGACGACACGGCCTTGAGCACATTTGACGCCTTGCCATTGGCAGTAGTCGAAGCGCTCGTTGAGCTCGTAAAGGAGTTTGTTGTCGAGGTCGGCCTTGGATTTAAAGGAGAGGATGGAAACGGCGTCGGATGGGAAAAGTAAGCTGGCTTTTGGAGTGTAAGTTATAGGCTTAGAAAAGCATGTCAAGAAGAAGAAGAAGAGAGGAAGCAAAGCTTTGGACATTGTTTTTGTTTTTGATTTTAGCTTTGTTTTCTCATACTTGTGTCTGTGTTTCACAAGATTGAAGTTATGGTGCCTGTATTTGGGGAAATCACCGATAAAGTCACGTGAAAGTGGGGAATGGAGGAATTTTGACGTTTGGAGATTATTGTCGACGTTCTACTTCTACCCTTAGCTACCCCATTCAACAGCGCGTGAATTGTACTACACTTTATTTTCTTTATTTTAGGTTTGGTGGTGGCGGTATATATTGTAGCAAATTGGTCGAAGTAAAAAAAAAAAAAAAAAAAACAAGAGGAGAGACATTTGATAGATTCTATTCTTTATTTCGTAGGGACTAAGGTTTATTTTTCTTAATTAATTGTTCCCTTTTGATGAAACATGCATAAGTAATTAAAAGAAAAAACTTGAATACTATGTACATATATTAGTCCTGGATTTTTTGTTTTTTATTTGAATATTTTAACATGTTAATGATGCGTGTTATGTTCTAATCATCAAATTAACAGGGTTGATCATCACGTTTATCAAGTTTGCATACACTTTACTTTCACTTCACTCTTTCGAGGTGGTCGACATTTAGGCTTTGATTGTTTCATTGTAAATAGCTTCCTAAATATAATTTTTGAAAAATGAACTTATTTTTTAGAAAAGTCTATACTTTTATTTTTTGGATGGTCTTGTGCAAAATATTTTTTGGTGTTTGGATTTTTTTTGAAAAATTTGAATTTTCATCAAATTCGTATTTTTCACATAACTATTTAAATAATTTTTTTACACTTATTCAAAATAATAATAATAAATATCATAAATATAAAAATAACAATTAATAAATTAAAAAACACAATACAATAAAATAATTATAATAAGATCTTTAAATATAATAAAATAGTTTGTTTTTACACAAAAGATAATCTTACAAAAGTTTTTGGGTCAATAATGAATATTGTTTACACATAATAAACCTACCATAACCATAATTAGCCTATACATGCAAGTGATTTTCATTCTACCAACTACTTAAAAACAATCAACCAACATATGAGATTCCATTTTTAACACATACAAAACTTTTGAAGCCAAAATGTCCTAAGATTGTTACTTTTAACCATAAATGCTTTAGTTTATTTCTCATGCTTCACTAGATAATCAAAGGTAGCAGCAAGGGATTTCTCATCAAATCCTTTCATCAACATCACTTGCTTATAAAGATATGGAATGCTAAGTTCATCCTTAGTGAATATTTTATGGCATTAACAATCTCACCAAGTTGCTTTGCCATGTTGCTAAGGTTTTTTAGCTTCGACACGTTCTTGAACTTTTTTCTTTTTATGATGGGATTTTGATTATGAAGTTCCAATTGACAAAGATGCTTTTGCTTTAACCTCATTAATTTCAATTTCAAAGTCTACAGGCATCGAATCAACCTCATTAGTATCTTCTAAATTAATATCAGTAAATGATTTAGTAAAAGTTTTAGTTGCCATATCTTTGCCAACAACCAAAGCCATCTCATCATACTTATCAAGTTTCTTATTCAAAAGTTGTTCATACTTTGGATGTGCTTGTTTTGAATCATAAACATAATAATAAGATCTAATTTATTGCAATAGAAAAATATTAAAAGAAGAAAATTAAAATGTTACCATCACTGCTTCATCATATGCTTTTTTTTTAATCACATATTATCATCTTCAAATTATCATCGCATCCAAAGCCATTATCCTCTTGAATTTTGCATATAATTTGTCATGTATTTTTCACTGTCCAGAGATGATTTTTCACATGATTAGGCTTAAATTCAACTTTGAATTTTTCAAAAATAGCTACAGACACTTGAGTAAGTGCAAGTCCTTTGAAAATGTTTGATGGCTTATTTCCTTTTTAAGCTTCCTCAACAAGTATTTCTAAAAACATTTCATCCATTGGTTTTATCCACATAAATTACTTTGATGAGCCTACTTCTTTGTTTGATTTACCCCTTTCTACAATTGTAATTACATTAAAAAATAAATTAAACAAAAACTAAAAGAAATAATAGCATCTAAGTGTATATAAGAAACATTAAAATGAAACATTAACACTTAACAAAGTATAGAAAAGAAATAATAATTTCAACAATATCAATATCAAACAACTTCAATTCTATCCAAATAGAAAATATAGGGAATTCTTAAAACACAACAACATTTAACATTGAAAATTTGATGTCTAAATCTAAACCAAATTAATTTGTTTTAGCCATATAATCATTTCACATACCTTGTGCGATTTTCTCTGTTTTGGTAGTCCATTCTCTAGTTTCTTTTCTTTCTTTTAGCTTTATAAGAGTTGGTTTTGTTATTGAAAACTCATCTTCATTAAGTGATTCTTGATTAATTGAGTCATTAGGATCAAATCCCATTATATGATTATGAATGATACAACATGCTAACACTATATCCACTTGTGTCTAAAAATCCCAAAATAGTTCAACATCTAAAATGACAACATTTTTTCAAAATCCCAAAGACCTGTTCAACGATAGTTCGCAATTATGAATGATGAAGATTAAAGAGTTTCTTTGCATTTTTTGAATGATGATCACTAAACTCTTTCAAATGATATTAAACACCATGATATAGAGATATAATTCCATTTCGGATGCCATATCCAGCATCAGCAAGGTAATATTTGCCTACAAGTTTATAAATTTAATTATTGTCTAATACATTATAAGTATAAATAAAGTACTATTATTCATTAGTTTTAATTGTTACCTTCTGGAATTTTAAATCCTTTTGGACGTGCAAGTGCATCATTTAAAATACAAAAATCTTATGCATCGTCTTTCTAATTAGCAAGTACATAAGAAAATTTTAAATCAAAAGTAATGGTAGCCAACACAGTTTGTGTTATTCCCCCTTTACGATTGTGAAATCTTCCTTGAATCTCAATTGGTATAGATGCACGAACATGAGTTCTATCTAATGCTCCCACATAATTTTTAAATAAGGGTAAAACCTTGGGTTGTTTATTATTTCAGGAGGAGTTGAATCATTAGGTAATCTAATGAGAATCTTATATAATTTTAAAATAGCTCTCAATACAATCCTAAAGTAATGGTAAACTGCCTTAATTGATCTATAATATTTTGATCCAACCACTCGCAATCTTACATTGTGGCCAATTAAATGCAAAAAAAATTATTACTTGCTCCTTAATGTACACCTATCTAGTTGATTGTAACAATTTGTTTCTAATGAGAATGTTACACAAATTAAAAAACGCAATTAGTCACATTCTTTTTTTATCAATACATTTCTGATCACCTTCAAATAAAATGCTATTAATATAACTGTTTTTCATAATCTCGATTGATATGAGGTTCATGGGCTATTTGATTCTTAGATCTAAATCTTTCAACAACAATATCCCAAAAACTAGTACTGAAGCAACTGCACTTATAATTGATGCAAAGATGGAATTATTTATCCATTTACAAAAAAAGTATTCATCTTTAAAATATATTATTTGCATTAAAAGTGCCAAGTTAAAAAAAAAGGTAATATAGGCTAAAAAGTGCCAGCTAATACAATTTAATAATATACGATAAAAAAACCATACCAAAAAAAAGTACCAGCTCATATAACCTAATCATGTATGCTAAAATTCATTAGAATTCTTTATATTAAAAGTGACATGTCATGCTAGTTCTTTATATCAAAAGTGCCAAATCCATACCAAACAAAAAGGTAAAACCAAATTCTGACATGGGTCATACGTTGAACAATGATATCTGAAGCATTTAAACAATGATACATGAAGCAATGATATCTGAAACAAATGACTAGTGTATCTAGGTACAAGAATAGCTATTGTTTATGAGAAACAAAAAGCACTATGTAGCCTAAATTAACTATTGCTTGCTTTTCCATATAAAATCTCATAAAGCATTTGAAAAAAAAAAATTCATACTAAACCATTGAACAATTATATCTAAATTGGTGTGTCTTTAAGTACATTATGGTTGCAACTAAAGGAATAACATGCTATTAAATCCAGTTTTTAGGTAATTAGAAGAATTAACATGAACCATTAAACTCAAGATATTTTATTGACTTTAAGGAATTAGCTCAAATTAGTCATCAAAAACCTAAGCTATAATACATAGTTATACCATTGCAACTAGATTAGTTTAAAATAAGCAAAATTGAAAATATAACTCTTTAGATGATTTTCAACAAGATGCCACAAGAACAACAAACATAAACAGTACAACAATTTTTTTTCCATATTCCTTTTTCTCAATGCAATTTCATATATAACTTAAGAAAGAATCCAATCATTTTGCTTAAATTGGGTAGCAACCCAGTTAATAAGGAAAGAATAATTGAACATACCTTGCTGGTTAAGAATGAAACAACTAAGATCTGAAAGAGATTGTTGCAGACTTCACTTGATTTCAAGATACAAGATTTTTTTCTTTTAGGTTTGGGAATTTTTTATGAATGGATGAAGATATAAGATAATGAACGAAGAGGTGAAGATACTAACCGATCTAGTCACTTTGGTAAGATAAACGATGGTGTTGTCATGAGAGAAATGGTGGTACTGATGAAAGAAAGTACATCGGCACCTAGGTTTCAATGTGTCTATGGTTTGGGTGCGTATTTTGTTTTTTATTGAGTTTTCAAAAAAGGGAAGACAATTTTCTTAGAAATGGGTTAATTTTTTGTTGACTTAAAAAATAATTTTTATTGACTCATGTATTTTTAGTGAAATAAATATCGAAAAATGTGTAAAACATTTTTCATAAGTTATTTTTAGTGAAACAAATAGACCCTTAAACTACTTGCCTAACAATTTGAGTAAATGTCTCATCAATAGGTCACTTCACAAATCCTCAGATTATCGATTGTCAATGATCTAGTGGACTGACCACCAAGTGTTAAGTGCTTACATCACACCACCATTCATGGATCATATATAAGGTAAAAAGGAGATCATGTATATTAATTTAAACTTTTTCTCTCCAAGTTTTCTTTCTTTCTTTTCATATCTTTATCTTTTTCCTTCATCTAAACTTTTTTGACTTGATTGACTTAAGT